AAAGCTTGACGAGACTGGAGACGAGGCTAGACAGTTATTAGGGCACTTTAATTAGAGTACCCTACTCGTGCGTGCGGACAAATTTAGCTTTTCACAGCTGGAGGCTGCAGCAACGGCGATAGGTTAACATCTGAAAGACCGCGATAACTGACCAGAATAGTTCGCCGCTCCACGGCATCGAGATCGATCGATGTTGTGGGGAAAGGCCGATAGCAAATGAGTGATTAAGCTAGCTGTGTCATATCATCAGCGATTACATCATGTCATCACATGATAAAAACAAAGGTTACCATAGCCCATGCTTACAATCGTAATGCATTTCCTGTGCTAAATTTATCTCTCCCTTCGGTGACAGAAAAAAATAATAAAACAAAAAGATCTAAACCTTTGATTTAGTCTTCAATACCTTTTCAGTTCTTTTTCATTAAACGTTCAGAAATACCATAGCTTGATTTTCTTTTCAAAAGTAGCTTCACAATATGAAACATTTGCTAAATTCGTTTTAGGAGGTAGCAGTAGCAGAGTATACACGGTGAAGCTGAAAATCTGAAAGAACACAGTTTACATCTCACAAAACTTTGTATCCTTACTTAAATTTATTTTTTTATTATGAGGACAGCGAGTAGTAAAAAACCTAGGCCTGGTTTAGTTTGTAAAAATTTTCACATCAAACTATCACATCGAATCTTACGGCACATGCATAGAGTATTAAATATAGACGAAAAAAAACTAATTGCACAGTTTGGTTGAAAATCGCGAGACGAATGTTTTAAGACTAATTAGTCCAAGATTAGTCATAAGTGCTACAGTAACTAGCATGCGCTAATGATAAATTAATTAGGCTTAATAAATTCGTCTCGTAGTTTCCAGATAAGCTATGTAATTAGTTTTTTTATTAGTATCCAAAAACTCCTTCCAATATTTCAAAATATCTAATATAACATTCAAAAATTTTCGTTTCGCGAACTAAACACATCCCTACTAATATCTCCCACCTCGGGCCCACAGTACTGACAACCTCGGCAGTCGACACCGGCACACGGAAACGGAGGGTGCATACTCCGTACATTACTCTGATCCAGACTTCCAGTCCACAGGAGTACTAGTACGTTGGGTGGGGGTTGTGTGTGTTTTTGCAAACGTCGGCTGATAAATCATAATTAAAAATATCGTTAACTAATTTATTATAAAAAAATATTATTTATTAATTAAAAAAATACAGTTTATACGACAAGCGAACAGGGCACACATTTCCTGACCAGTGGTTCCGGTATAGTGAGACGGTCACACGGAGACGACGCTGGAAACAACTGCGACACGCACACGCTTCGATCCTCTCCAGCAGTGGAATTGCTGCCTGCCTGCACAAGATCTGGATCTAATCCCTTGCTCAGATGCTATGGAAAGTTCTGTCGCGAGACGAATTTAGTAAGTCTAATTAATTCGTTACGAGTATATATTTACTGTAGCACCAAATTATTAAATCATGGACTAATTAGATTTAAAAAATTCGTCTCGTAAATTAATTTTAATATTTATATTTAGTTTTGTAATTAGTATATATTTAATAATCTAAGTATGTGTGAGACCGCGATTAAAATTTAGAAGATAAACTACACACCCCTTTATACTGCCTCCCTCCTGTCTCGAGATTTAAAGCTAGATTTTTTTTTTCGGAGGGACTGAGGTGATTGAGAGGAATTCTGCTCAGCTTTTTGGATGCTCCCTCGTTTCTAGCCCTGGCTTAGTTGGCAAATTTTTTTGGAAGTGGTACTGTAGTATTTTTGTTGTTATTTGATAATTAGTGTTTAATCATAGTCTAATTAGGTTTAAAAGATTCGTATCATTAATTTTGTCTAAACTGTGTAATTAGTTTTATTTTTTATTTATATTTAATGCTTCATGTATGCGTTCAAAGATTCGATGTGATGGAAAATCTTGAAAATTTTTGCAAAATTCTAGGAACTAAACAGGCACCTGGTTTTTCACACGGGGCAGGCACAGTGGCAGCAGAAAGCGGTGCCTCTTTTTCTGTACTTGGACCGAGCTTGCACCGCAACAGTAGAGCCTGTTTCGCACTCGTACAACATTTTCGTGCATTGCGTTGCGTCCACACGTGCGTGCCTGGGGTTTTGATAACGGAGCCTCCCATTTTGCTTGAATTTCTTCTGCCATGTTTAGTTCACCCTAAATTCCTAACTTGAACACTATGTAAAAAAAACATTCTCGTTACATCAAATTTGTGGTATATGTATAGAGTACTAAATGTTGACGAAATCAAAAATTAATTACACAGTTTGGTTGTACTCTGCGAGACGAACGTTTTAAGCCTAATTAATCAATGATTGGACAAGTATTACTAAATACAAATAAAATGATAGTACAGCTACTGTGCTAGAGTGTTTTTGGCGGTGCCAGATTCAGGCAACTAAGGGCATGTTTAGTTTATCTCAAAACCCAAATTTTTTTACGCAGTATCCATCACATCGAATTTTGCGGTACATGTATGGAGTATTAAATGTAGACGAAAAAAAACTAATTGCACAGTTAAGTGAGAAATCGCGAGACGAAACTTTCGAACCTAATTAGTTCTATAATTAGATACTAATTGTCAAATACAAACGAAAGTTCTACAATAACTAGAACGTAAAAATTTTGAATCTAAACGGAGCCTAAACATGCCTAGTAGGAGTAGCTTTGCTCGATTCCGACGAGAAGAAATGACGTATGCGTTCGGGATCCATACTCGAGGAATCCGAATCACTTTTTTAAGAATCGTTTGTCTCGTTGGCTGAATTTTAATTCAATTCAAAAAAAATTAAAAATTATATATATGTAATTATTCTTTTAAAAAACTAAAATTTTTATGGGCCAAGAACGACTTAATACAACATATTTTAACTTGTTTAACTTAAAAACAATAACTATAAAATTATGGTTACTAGTATAGAGGCGGCAAGAGTCAGAATCACATCGAACAAACTAACTGTCATTTCTCTAGACATAAATACGAGAAATATGATTCACGGGTGAAGGAAACACTTCTGGTCCACCTCATTAAACCATGATTCTACCGATTCCCATAAGAATAAGAATTAAAACTGTTTCTAGTTGCCAACATGACCAATTGCCGGCCGCCGAGTATTTCCCGTCAGAGTCAGACTGAGATCTCTGTTTCCAAATCTTCAAGCGTAAGAAGTGAGTCTATCAACTAATTTGGTGGAAGACGTGATCACGTCCCAATTATCCAAGTTCAAATACTTTTTAACTTGAATTTTATGTCAATTTTTTTATAGAAACACCTAATTCCTTCTAGGTTAGTCACATTTTTAATCCTCATTGAATTAGATTTTTCCATTGGAAGGGTAAATCTTTATAGATGTGTGAAATGTCTTAAATGGCTAGAGATGGTGAATAGCTTATAAAAATTTGAGAAATTTTGCTATTGAACACTAGAAAAACTTTATATATGTTGCTGCACACCGCCAACCGCGTAATCGGCCCAGTACCATTATAAAATTTGCGTTCTTTGCCGATGGACACCGCATCCATTATTTTAATCATTTCCGTATTTGGGGGTGAGAGAAAGCCACCTAAGCGGACGATCTTGCCCTTGGCACTATAGCTGCATACATGGTTGGGTCGAACCAATTCACTTTGGACTGACCCAAGCCTATAAACACCTGCATCGGTTCTCTTCATCCTCCCGTCTCCATCATTCCCGTCCGCACTGCTCCTCGTTGAACGTAACCCTAGATCTCGTAGTCCTGTCCACTGGAGGTCCACCGGAGATGGCTTCGAGCTCGCAATCCACAGCACGCACGTCCTCTATGGCCGCGTTGGAGCCATTTAGGGACGCTGGAGGGATGCTGCCCTTGGTTCCATGCCACAAGTGCGGCACCCAGTTCATCAGCCGTGTGTCACAGAAGACAGGTAGCAAGGGGAAGAGGTTCTACAAGTGCCCTTTGCTGGAGCATGTAAGTGATTTCATTGGTTGATCTGAGTTTGTTGTTCATCATCTTGGTTTGTGATTTGTTTCCTGCGGCTCTACATGTTCTTGTGCAGACTGATTTTGCTTGCGCCGTCTACATGTTTGAAGATGAATATGTTGAGTACTTGGTCCGCAGAGGCATTCTTCCACCATCTTGCAGTCGGATTAGATCCCCAGACCTTTTGAGATATGAAGTTGTGAAGAACGAACCAGCTGACATGATGAAGGTAGCTGTTGAAGAAGTAGAGAAGTGTACTCACATGTTGCAGGCTTCAGTGAAAGATGCAGAGGCAAACTTGAAGGATGCAGCTGATTGCAAGGCCGTGATGTGCAACAAAATTGATAAAATTGGAGAGCGCCTCCTCTTTATTGGCCTTGCAAACCTGGTAGTTGTAGTGCTTGTTCTGCTAGTGTTGTCATTCAAGTGATATTGTAAGTAGCTTAGTAGCTAGCATGTATGGCTGGATGCCAGCACTATCTAATTGTATCTGTGAACAAATTCTAGCAGTCAATGTAATGCCGGTATGGTAATATGTGAAGCAAATGTGCACCTTCTGAATTTATGCAAATATGTCACAGATGCATCTTAGCCAACAATAATTCTGGCATTACATAAGAACTAGCCGATACATTAAGTGTGGCATTACATAACAGGTCCAGCACCACAACATATATTGCTGTTCACATCACAGCAAATAGAAGCCACAATAAATGTGCCAGTTGCATTGTAATGTAATGGGTTGACATGTGAACTCAGAGATATGACATGAGCTGTTATCCTTCAATATCACTATGTGCATTGTCAACCAAGTAACACTAAGCAAAGCAAAGACAGTAGACATAACATCTTAAAGCATGATAATCTTAGAGGTAGCTGACAGTAATTAACATAACATCTTGAAGGTACATGCCTTCACATGTCACAGTACACCTTAAACAACACAAATCGAGTGTCACATGACATCACATGTCAACAAAAGCAATTGTTTTGGACACTTCAATACTTAAACTACTTGTGCTTATCCATGACTAGTTTCTTCTTGGCTGCCATGCTAGTAGTGTTCTTCCTCTTTGGTGTCCTCTTAGTCGTCACCTTGATCTTCTTAGGAGGGGATGAACTTCCATTTGTCATGGCCAACATCCTTTTGTGGCTACAGGTGCAGAACTAAAATATTAGTATGTAGTCTTTGGATATCATAGTTATGTCAAGGCAATAAGGTAAACAGGTATAAGTACCTTCTAGTGTTGGCTGCAGGGCTAGAAGGTGCTGCTGCAGCACTTACAGTGCTTCCTCCAACCTGAGACTGCTGGGTAGAAACTGTAGAAGCTGGCTTGCTTTTCTTTCCCTTGCTTCTTTTGGGCTTAGCTGCTGCAGGAGGAGGTGCATCTGAGTCATACACTGTCTCATTGCAAGTCTTCATCATGTGCCCAAATTGACCACATCTTTTGCACTGCATCTGTCTACGAGTTCCCTTGCCACCTACTTCAGCTCCCTTCAACCTCCTTGTCCTTGGTCGTCCTGCTGATCTTTTAAAAGCTGGAGGCCAAAGTTTAAAGCCTATCTCAACCTTAGGACATTGGCTTCTATCTGTCATGGGATGCACAACCCCTTCATAAGCCTTCTTGAACATGGCTACAGAATAGTACTCATGTACATAATCTTCCACATTCATGTTCGTCAATGCATTGATCAAGCAAAGTGCATGAGTACATGGTAGCCCAGTTATCTGCCACCTTTGGCAGCTACATGATGTGTTGTCCAAATCAACAGTGTGTCTCCAAGTTTTCAATTCCTTAGTAGTACCCTGAATCTCTACTGTGTTGTTAGGTCCTTTGTGTATGACATAATTCAGGTTCCTGCTCCTAGCATTTAGGTCCTTTGTGATGTTAGGTAGAATCCTATCATTTAGCTTCTCTGCAAGTGTCCTTCTCGCTGCATTTTTCTCCATGATCATCTGTCTGATCCTATCCATCAGAGATATGACTGACTGTGACTTCTCCATTCTAATCCAACTATTAAATGTCTCTGTAATGTTGTTTGTTACATAGTCACATTTGCTGGCGTGAGAGAACTTCCATCTGTTCCACAAGTGCTTATGTGTTTGTTCTATCCATTTGATTACATTTGGTGAAGCCTTCTTCATTATGTTGTAATGGTACTCATAATGCTGCTGGTTGTATGCCCTGCTGCATGGCCACAAATGCTTCTTGAACACAACACCTTTGTACCTCTTCTGGAAGTTCTTCACCAAATGCCTCATGCACTCTCTATGCTCAACTCCATTTGAAAAAACCGAAGTCACTGCACTGTCAATTCCTTTACCAGCATCTGTAGAGATTACAAGTCCTGGTGGGGAGCCAATTGCAGTCTGTAGCTTCTCAAAGAACCATTTCCAACTGTCAGCGGATTCTGAACCAAACACAGCATAAGCAACTAGAAACAACCAGTTGTTTCCATCTACTGCTGATGCAGAGGCTAGCTGTCCTCTCCACCTTCCTGTTAGCACTGTTGAATCAACTCCCAAGAAGGGTCTGCATCCATTCAAGAATCCATCAACACATGACTTCAGTGCCACAAACATCCTTGAGAATCTCATCTTGTTTCCCACATTTTCCCATTCAATTTCCACAATGCTACCAGGATTGGTTCTCTCAACCTCTGCCTTGAAACTGAAGGCATCATCGAAACTATCGTTCCACTTGCCATTAATTTCTTCTAGAGCCATCCGTCTGCCATCAAATACCACATAGTATGACAAAGTAATGTTATACTTCTTCTCCAGGTCTTTCTTCAATGCTGCTGCCCCTATTGTTGGTTCCTCTCTGAGGATGTCAATTATCCTGTCCCTCACCCAGGCATTGTTAGCCATACAATTTTGATGCAGTTTGGATATGCTTGGACAAGTATGCTTCTCATACATCTTTATCTGCAAAGCAGTTAAACAACAAAAACAAACATGTTCACAAAATTCACATTTAGTAACCCATTCTATCAGTTCAATAACAAAAATGATTCAATAGCATACCTACCAAGTTTTGCCATCTTGCAACTGAGATGCATGAATCCTCCACTTACACCTCTTCTTCTTGCTCTTTGAACCCTTGTAGATCCCTCTGTAGCTTGTTGACTCACTGTAAAGAGCTATAATTTCAAACTCATTTAGTACTGCAAATTGCCTAATTGCTCTCTTAAAGGTATTCCCATCCTCAAATGTGACCCCACAAGCTATGGTTGGATTTTCTAAGTCAGTGACATGTTCAAAAACTTCACAACCAGCTTCATCATCAACATAAAGATCATCCTTACCACTACCGTCAGAGTCATAAGCATCAACATCTGGACCTGCATTATCATCATTAAGGCCAGACATGTAATAGTTTTCATTATTCACCCCCACATATTCTTCTTCATCTTCTTCCCAAGACACATCATCATCAGCTACCTCCTTTCTTTTCTTCTTTGACCTTGGAACACTTTTCATCTCTCCATCAGTATCAGTGCCACCATCACAAACATCATCACAAGGATCTGGCTCTGCATCATCATGGTCACCTGCTTGAATAGGGGGTTCAAGAGCAGGTATTGCCTCATCAGCATAAACACTCTGACTATATGCAACTGCAACAGTGTCATACACCCCCACATACACAACCAGCTTCCTTAGATCCCAATACATGTCAATAGCATCCATCAGCATGGAGTCAGTACTAAGAGTGGAGTAACATTTTCTCGGCTTGTTGTAAAAACATAGATTCAAGCCCTGATTAGCTCCGCAAGCGACCTTAGCTGCTACATCGTTAGTAAGATCCTTCAAATTCGTAGTGTCCCTATCAACCACTAGTTGGAAATCAGCTGTAAGAGGATTAAGATTCAGAGTGGCCCGCACATCAATCCGGCAGGCGGTACTAATGTCCATCCTAAAAAATGGACAACAAGAAACCATAAAATCCCTAGATTCGGCCCAATAAATACTAAGATGAGCAAGACAAATCCAACCACAACAAGCAAACGGGGAAAAAGGAAACAAGAGAAAAGGGGAAGAACAGGGCGTACCCTTCAGGAACCCATGCTAGATTGAGCCCCTTCGAAGGGGAATCTACACTTGGCCGCAAGCGCTTCACTTTTCCCGACGACACCATCCTTAGACGTCCATCAAACCACGGGCGCGAGCCGTGCCGGAGGAGGCGGCGGAAGCCAGGTCATCGCCGGAGCTTCGTGGATGCGGTAAGAGATGCGGCGGCGCCTGTGGCTGAGTGCGAAGGGGTTAGGGTTTAACAAAGGGGATGTGTGCCTTTGACCGACGCAGTCTGGTTCAACCAGGGGCATCGAGCGTCATTTTCAAAATTTTCTCTCTCCAAAATGACAGAAAAGAGTAAAGTAATGACTGCGGTGTCTTCTGCCAAATAAACCGTGATTCATAATGGTACTGAGCCAATAAGTGAGTTGGCGGTGTCCGGCGGCAAATAACGCCATTCTTCAGTGTCCCTGAGCAAAATATCCCTAAAAATTTCTATAAATACACTAGAGCAAGAGGTTAGTACACTAAATGGCGAAATGCAATTTTGCTCTAGCTCTACAAGGATTGCAAGCCACCTATTCAACAATTCTAGTTGCTATGATCACTAGGCACAAATAATGGCTATGTCACTACTCACTAAGAGCTCTCAACAAGTCTACACTAAAGAGCTCCATTAGGTGATACTAAACTAGCAAGCAACCAAGCTCTCAAAACTAGTTACACTAAAGAATTTGTTATAACTATTTTGCAAGTAAGTAAAAGAAATAAGTGGGATGTTTATACCGCCATGTAGAGGGATGAACCAATCACAATATGATCACCAATACAATCACCGGGAGAATGCCAATGGCAAGAGACAAACGATTTTTCTCCCGAGGTTCACGTGCTTGCCGGCACGCTAGTCCCCGTTGTGTCGACCAACACTTGGTGGTTCGGCGGCTAAGACGTGTTGCACGAACCTCGTCCACATAATTGGACACCGCAAGAACCTACCCACAAGTGTGGTAGCTCAATGACATGAGTAATTTACTAGAGTTGCCTTTGGCGCTCCGCTGTGGAAGGCACAAGATCCCTCATAAGCAACCGATCGAGGCCAGAGGCAATCACCAACTCCGCTCAATGATCCTCCAATCACCGGGCCATCTAGGTGTCGAGAAACACCAAGAGTAACAAGCTCACAACCAGCCCAAATCACCCAACTAGTGCCACAGGATGATGCAACTCAATGCAATGCACTAGAGGCTCTCCAATCTAACTCAATATGATGAACTCAAGTGAACAAGTGAGTGGAGTGTGTTGCTCAGCTTCTAAAGGGTTTGCACAAGTGTATGAGGTGCCAAGAGAGTGGCCAAGGCCAGCCACACCGTCTATTTATAGCCACACAAGCAAATAGAGCAGTTATACCTCTTGGAGCTGTCTATGCGGGGGCACCGGACACGGCGGTGGCACACCGCCCCTGGGGTGGCGGTGCCCCAACGGTCACTTTCCAATGGCTAGAAAACTAGCCGTTGGTCACTGGACATGGCATGGTGGTGGCATCGCCCAAGGGGTGGCCGTGATCATCCCAGCCAAGTCCCCAAAACCGGCCCTCTCTAGAAAAATAGGGCAGTGCACCGCCATCATCCTGGCGATGACCTTCCTTGCTTGTGCCTGTCTCTAGAAGGAAACAGCGGTGGCACCGAACAACCCATGGCAGTGACCAGGCGGTGCACCGTCGCGCCCATGGCGGTGTACACCGGCATGTCCAGTGACCACCCCAAACTAGCCACTCTTGCCCCTTCTCTGCCAGGTCTAGGTGGGCGCCAGCACACGGGTGACGGTGCACCAAACAAGGGGTGGCGGTGCCACCCAGGCACCACCACAAGCTCTTCGAGTTGCAAACTTTGTCACGTTTTGATCCACGTCAACTCGAGCTACTCCCCACAAGCGATGCTAACTTTCAAAGTGTTTTCTCAAAACATGTTAGAGCCAAGTTAACATTTCTCAAAATATTTTCAATAAATATTTTCGCTTGCTCTCCGATGTGCACTAGGCCTAAATGCAATGCATGAAGTCCAACACCAAGTGGCACTAGATGACCGAATTGTCAAGTTAAGAACCCATTTTAATAGTACATCCATCTACCCTAAACGTGATCACACTCTCTATAGTGTCTTTATCACTGAAACAAAACCCCTAATTATACTTTTGCCTTGATCTTCATAGGGTTTTGTTTTTCTCTTTCTTCTTTTCTAAGTTGAGCACTTGATCATCATCACATGTGGCCATCTCATCATTTAATGTGATCAACATCTCCATTTGAGTGCCACCATGCTTCACAACTTGGATTGCACCAACCTAGCTTATATCACAACTCATGACAAGGGTTAGTGCATAGGTTTTATCAATTATCCAAAACTAAACTAGGGCTTTCAATCTCTCCCTTTTTGGTAGTTGATGATAACCTATTTACAAAGATATCCAATAAAATCTTTTTGGATTCATGTTGCTTGCCCAAGCATATTACCATGTGTAAAGGTTATGGACAAGTTTCATAAACCCAAAATTGGTAGCATTAGCTCCCCCTACATATGTGCTAAGAGTTTGGATTTAAAAGCTTGCACATATGCATAGATTAGGAAGTGTGGGGAAGTAATGTCTACCAAATGATGCGAAGGTGTAAAGAATGGACCTTTGAAGCATGATACCAATCGGAGTTGCCATTTGTACACCATCCTTAGCACCACTAGTAACTAGACATTCACAAAAGCTAGAAAACCCCATGAGATCAAAATTATATGAAAGGGTCTAGTTTTTACAAGATAAGCACAAGTCTAGTTACTCTTCCTATGCATCCTAATGCTTCATTCATCATTCAAGTTACTACTAGCATACACCACACAAGCATGGATATGGAATATAAAACTTGTGCCATGCAAGCAAACATATGTAATGCACATACAAATGCAACATACAAGTTTATGAGCTTGCTCCCCCTACTTGTGTGCTTCAAATTTTAATTGATCCCCTTACAATGTCATTTCATTTGTTTGCTCCCCCTATCTCTTACTATCTTTGTGAATTTCTCTCCCCCTTTGTCAACAATTAGCACAAAAGGTGAGTTCAAATTTTGGATAGGTTGGGGTGAAGCCATGTAAAGTAAGGATCATTTTCCTAATTTGGTTCAATCTAGATCACTTGCAAAAGATATTTAACTCGGTTTGATCCAAGGGAAAGCTTTTTCACACCTCTAAATAAGGTTT